CCACAATAAACTGCCCTTCCCACCATACCTCATAAGACTAATTAAAAAGTAGAGCTAATAATTCATAAACACATAGCAGTAACACTGGAATACCTCTACCTTTTAATTATCCACAGAGCCCCCAAAACAACTTTTCAACATACTTCAAAGATAGCAATCATTCAAAAATGAATTTTTTATATAACAAAATTTAAACTTACAATCAGCAGAAATAAGAGTTTGAAATCTAAATTTAGAGTATGGCCAAACTGGCACGCCTGAGTGGCTCAGCGGTTAAGTGTCAGACTTCTGCTCAGGTCATGATCTCATAGTTCGTGGGTTCGAGCCCCATGTTGGGCTCTGTGCTAGCAGCTAGCTCAGGGCCTGGAGTCTGCTTCAGATTCTTTATCTCCCTCTCTCTCTGACCCTCTTCTGCTCATGCTCTCTCTCTCAGGAATAAATAAAACATTAAAAAAAAAAAAAGTATAGCCAAGCTTAAATGAATTTGATTTTCCTGAAAACAAAATGTATTCCACACACAGACCTAATGCTCAGAAAAGTGTACTAAGACTTGGCTCATGTTGATGATTCTAGCCTGGCATCTGGTTAACATAGGGCAAAGCAGTTTTATCATAGAAAAGTAAGGTAAACATAATAAGTATGTTAAAAGTCAACTCCTTCAAGAAACACAGTTTTCTAAGTTGTTATCCTATGAACATTTTCTTCCCACTTATCTATTAAACTATTAGTGGCAAAATGTTTTATGGTCATTTAGGAATTTCTAGCGCTTAACACACTGAAACTGACACCACAGTTTAGCCTCTAGCATATCTTGAAAAAAAAAAAAAAAAAAAAAAAAAAATGTTTGCTTTAGTAAAGGAAAATAACTATTTGACTCCTTTAAATACTTGCCCAGGATATCTGAATTCATCTATAAAAACTCGATTTACATAACATTAGCAATATTTTACCTTATTAGTTAAGATTATCTGTGGACAAAAAAAGTTCAGCTATTTTTTCTCAACTTTTTTTTTTTTTTTTAACTTAACTAGGTTGATTATAGCCAGTTTTGTTTTGGGCACACTATGATGGGAAATAAAAATCAGAGTCTCATTTAGAAATGACTTGGACAGCTAGATCTCATCTCACCAAATATTACATTCCAGACAATGGCAACTATAGTCACATATGAGGGAACATGTTATCTATGCACCACCTAGATTTTTCCACTCATCTATTTAGGAAACCATAAATAATCCACTACAAAAGTTACCTTTTCCATGAAGTACTTTTTTAGTTGAGATCCTTTAAAATTTTTGTGCCTCTCACCTTTCCAATAGTCTCATTTTCACTGATAGAGACAGCACCCACTCATAATGGTGAAGCACAAGGACTTAGATTAGGTCTCTGCACATTAGTTATCACTGTTACTAAGTACAAACAATTTAACCATAAAATAAAGATATGCAATCTGAAGTATGATTCCGAATTGTGTACTGTATCTATAACAGAATTTAAAAATGAATTAAAAGCAGAGGGGCGCCTGGGTATCGCTGTCAGCTGAGTGTCTGGCTCTTGATTTCACCTCAGGTTATGATCTCCAGGTTAGTGGGATCAGCCTGCGTCAGCTCTGCAATGGCAGCTGGGAGCCTGGTTGGGATTCTCTCTTTCCTCTCTTTCTGCCCCTCCTCCCGCGTGCATTCTCTCTCTCTCTCTCTCTCTCTCACACACAAAAAAAACAAACATTTAAAAAATAAATAATCAGAATTATAAGCAGAAATGTGTCCCAGATTTCTTATCATTCCAAACTTACTAAAATGGTTCCATGTATCCCCCTCAGCCAAGCTTTTAAACAGCCACTGATGAAAAAAACCTGTGTACTGCATTTATTAATAATATAAAGTCTTCCTAACATCTCCCCTTATTTCAAGAACTCTGATAAGATACTATAATCAACTGAAAGAATTATTTATATCAACGTGTACAAACCATTTTGAACATCCAAGTTTATGGGTTCAATAGGCAAAAGGTCAAACACAAAGCAGCTGACTTGTAATTTCTGTAGAGCACTTCAAATGCTTTTCTTGTAAAATCACCAAAATAATTTAAAAACAAAAAAATCCTAGGAACACTGACAAAAATAAACTTTTCTGTTGAAAGAATGTAGTATGTTAAATTGAAACTGACTCTCCTAAGGAAGATGACGGCTTATTTTACTATTAATTCCCAAGTTCTCATTTACGATTAGAATTTTATTATCTTTTAGGCAGACTGCAACCTGAAACTCAAGCACCTTCTCAAACACTGAAGTTACCTATTTTTGGTTTCCACTCTATGCCTTTTTGTTTTCAGTTAAACTTCTGGATCTGATGGTTTAAAAGTGGGGGACAGGGGCAAACAAAAAGACGGCCTTTTGTTTGAAAGGGCACAATAATCAGGCACTCCACAACTAAGTTCGTTTTCACTAGTTGTCTCACAGCGTTGCAATCAATGTCCCAAACTTATAGGCACTGATTCCCTTTCAAGTATTACACAGAAAAGGCCAAAAAACTTCAGAAGTCCGTCAAATTACAAATCTGAGTCTTCTGAAGACTACCAATCACTTTACTTTTGGATTGGATTTACAAAGGAACGTGTGACTTCTGTTACTAAAACATGAACCACACCATTAACTGTTTTTTTTTTCCTGGTAAGCAATAAATATCAAAGTTAAGAGTAAGTATTTCAACAAATATGACAAACCAAACTCAGGGCACAAAGCTGGCTGACAGAATGATCATCACAGCACAATTTCAAAACTATAAGCAACCACACACACACACGCACACACACACAACCGCACCCACTCTTACGTAAACTTTTGGAGTAAGCAAACTTCTTTGGCCTCACCTTTGTTTTCACCTAGCAAGGACTCTTCAAGACACCAATTGCAAGAAGACCAAAATATCAAAAGATTCAGTTGCTGCCCTCGTAGAAGAAACAACCAAAAATTTAAGACATGGTAATGTATTTAAGTTGCCGAAGCTTAGGGCACTTCCCAAGCTACAGCCATTTTAGGTTCAGCCTTTCTTTTGAATTTCACGGGGGTGGAGAGGTAGATTTAAAACAGTAAAAAATACTTGCTAAAACTCTTCAAAATCAACCAGCTTTTTTTCGGAGAAGGGAAGCGATCCGTAGCTGTTGGATACCGACTTAATCTAAATCATAGAAAAATACCTCGCTACCACAGAGAACCGAAAACCTGGTGGTTAAAGCTCTTCTTTTCCCCTCAGAGGTCCCACATTTGACTTAACTATTTTTTTCCTCCTTAGGTTTTCCTTTACTGGAAAACAAAAGCCCTTGGTTCTAATTTAAGAAGGAAAGAAAAAGAAACCCGTAAACCAAGCCACCAAGAAGCCGGAACGCCTGGAGAGGAGCCAGAGAGCCGCAGGTGAGCGTTCCGACCCGAAGACCAAAGTTGAAGTAGGAGCGCTCGGGCAAAGCCGCTGCAACACTAGACTGCAAAGCTCCTCGCGCGGGGGGAGGTGCCCGGTCCGCACCACAGGACTGTGAGCCCTGAGGCTCCTCTCGCCTTCCCGGAGCCGACCTACACCAACCACCTGTGAGAGAGACCCTCCTTCAACTAGTTTCAACAGCCGGTTGATCAGGCACCGGGCGGAGCCCCTAGCCGGGACGACTCAAGATCCCCTACCGCCCGTTGCCCGGAACCCCTACTCACCCAGCAGTGGCGGGGCTACAGCTTGGGACCATACGCGGAGTCTGAGGGCGCGTCCCCAGCTTCCTGATCCCGCAAAGGTGGAGAGCCCACAACCATAACAAAGCTCTTCCCAAAATGGCTGCCCGGCCCACACGGCCCAGGAGGGGCAGGGGGGAGGAGCGACAACCAGCCGGGCCCTCCCCCCGACCACGCCTCACACACGCCCACCCACTCGCCCCGCCCACAGGAGCGCAGGCGCAGGAGCCCTTCTCGGGTGACCCTGCCGGCGCCCCACTCAGCCAACGTTCTGCCGCGTGAAAGGCGGTTATTCCGTGCGTGGTCCCCAATCCCCCCTCACGGCCGCTTGAGGCAGTGCCCCCACCCCTCTGCCGACTTGAATTCTCTGCCTTTCCTCGCGCAGCCTGAGACGGAGAGACCAGCCGAGTTTGGTATCCCTCGTCTTATCCCCCGGCTCAACTCCAGGGCCTAGATGCGTGTGAATGAGTGTGTGTGTGTGTGTGTGTGTGTGTGTGTGTATTGCTTTTCCCCGCCCCTTCAACTTCCCATACCCCACTTCTGAGCATGCTCGCATCCCCAAACTACCCGTAAAAGCACTAGCAAACCGGTTTCGTAGGATCCTGTGTTTTCCGACCCTTCCCACCGTCTGCTTTTTCCTGTGCGCGCGTCGTTAAGATTCCAGCCCCCAGCGGGCCACACCGCCCGACTCTTGAGGCCTGCGCTGCTGGTCCCGACGCGCTATACCCGCTGGGAGTGGTAGTTCCGCCTGATGGCTGGCGTCATGGCGTTGGCCCAACGCAGGGCAGATTTCTATCCAAAGCCTGCTCCTATGCCTGGGCGGAGAAGTTGTTTCTCTGACCCAGAGCCTTATTGGATATCGCACTACTGGAAGGGGCGGCGCTGCCATGACAGAAGGAAATAAAAGTGAAAGCCTATCGCGATTAGAAGCGGTTATTATTACGAAGAGTTCGCAGTGGGCCCATCCTGCACAGGACGCTAAGCCATATGGTGTCCAGCAACCGGGAAACTAGATTACCTAGAATCCTGAGGTATTGGAGGAACTGACCAGCGTGGGCCCTTTCAGCTCTGTTGTTTTCAGATGGACGCCCAAATTGCTCGGCGCTGTCTCCTTTGATAGACTGAAATGGGAGGTCCAGAGAAGAGAAACTTGTCCAAGGTCACAGAGCTGATAAATAAAAATTAAAACAGAAGGTGACAGAAAGAATGACCTAACTTTTCAGATCAACCTAAACCAATGCTCTTATCACCATACCTTTCATGGAAGCAAAAGTCCTGCCCCGTGTATTCTTTATTTCTTAATTAAGCTTCCAGGTCCAAGCAACGAGAATGGAAGTAAAGACAGTTTTGTTTTTCTTAATAGTTCAGGACCCTAATATGGAGTAAAATGTGGCCCATCGATCCTAGAAACCCTGTTAAAAGTTCCAGAGATGGCAAGCAATTTAGTCAAGTCACTCGACCTAGACTCCAAATCTCTCTCACATTCCTACACCACTATCACTCTGAGATTGTTTCAGTAGTTGCACTCTACCTTCCCGAACTCGGAGGATCAGATTCTCCTGCTGAGCTGAGAAACCTAGAAGAGAGAGGCCAGGACCATTCAGGAACCCTACAGACTTCAAAAGCCGGCTTCCAGAATTAAGATTTAAAAGAATGACCCAAAGTGGAAAGCCTGGCATGGGAACCTGTCAGCGCTGGTCAAGTTCCCACCCGGACTCTTTTCCCCCTCAGAATTGTTCTCAGGAAGTGTGGGGGGTGAGGGGGAGTGTTACCACCCATCTGCCGGAAGTTGCCTTTTCCTGAATACCTGGCGGTTCTTGCAGCTCAGCTTTCCATCTCCCGATTACAAGCTGGCAAGTAAGTAGCAGGGCGGCTGCCACAGGGTGCAGATTGGGAATGGGATCACCAAGGATTGAGGATAAATCAAAGCTGCGGGCACTATCGGGCAAAGTTTCCCGAGGACCTTTCGTCCAGACAGTTTTCTCTCAAATGTTCACTCCGAGGCTTCGCAGTTTGCAAGTCTCCCCTCTGGGGCAGTGGAAATACCGTCCGTTTTCACTTAAATTGAGCGGATTAACCCCTGGGTCTTTGCCCTTAATTTCCACATCAGTTGCAATTCCCGAGATTTAGGCTATCACTCTTTCCCTTTAACAACCAAGAGTTGGAAAGCACGAGGTCAGAGTGCATAAGGAGTCCCGAAAGTGAAGAGAGCATTGAAATTTTAAGTGCGGGTGGTCTGGAAAGCCTTTATGCAGATGATTTTGAGCAACAGTGAATGTGTGGGCCCTGCAGATATGTGTTTGGAGTTCAGGAGGGGGTGTAAAAGTGCCATTCATAGGACCGGGATAACTTACTTCCTCCGTCTTTATGTTACAGGATGAAAACATTGGCTGGTATACAGGGTTTCTCTACCCAGTCCTACGAGCTGTGACCTAGAAATTCGTTCATTAAATAGTTTAATTAGGTGGCAAATGTGGCTTGGATCTTTTAGACACCTATTCTTCTGGTTAAGAATGAAACTCATGTAAGACAGATCTAGATTCATATTCTCACTCAACCACTTACTACTGGCTGCTTACATTAGACAGGGTTCTTAACTGTTTCCCTTGATGTAAGATGGGAATATAGTTAAATGCTTTTTGAGTGCCTACTTTGTGTCAGGGACAGTTCTCAGCTCTTCACATATTTTATTTCATTTAATTTCTGCAGTGACCCTATGAAGTTCTTGTAATTATTTCAAAGGCGAGTGAACTGCAATATGACAAGGTTAAATAACTTGTCCAAAGTCACATACTTGATAAGCGGTGGAGCTAGGATCCCAACATAAATTGACTCCAAAATCTTCACTCTAATTTAACAGACTACATGTGTTCTTTCAGCACTAAGTTGATAAGGTTGTTGTATTCATTGAGTTAATGCATATAAAACACATAGCTACAGTGCGCGGTTCACAGCTAAATTGTATTGATTGCTACCATCATTTGGAACTGTAAATGCCTAAGCCCCAAAATAGGTAACTAAGATGAAAAAAGAGAACAGAGAAGCTATAACTTTCAGTTTTAATGAGAAACTGCACTTCATGAAACAATTTATGCAAGGTCACATAGCTGGGGAATTATAGAGGTGTTTGTAAAATACAGATCTTCTGTCTCTGTGCATTACTTTTTCTATTACACCAAACAGCAAAAGCTAGAATCGTTCAGGGGTGCCTGGGTGGCTCAGCTGGTTAAGCGTCCAGACTTCAGCTCAGGTCTTGATCTCACGGTTGGGAAGTTCAAGCCCTGCTGAGAGTGCAGAACCTGCTTTGGATCTTCTGTCTGTCTCTCTTTCTGCCTCCACCTCGCTTGCCTACGCACTCTTGCTCTCTTTCTCTCTCTCTCAAAAATAAACATTAATAAAAAGAAAAAAGAAAAGAATGGTTCAGAGATGAAAAGGATCTATTAATGTGTTACTGATTTTTTTGAAAACATTAATGATTACTTTCAAAGGAAAGTGTGTTACATGGAAAAAATTCTTGAGTTACTACTTATAAAAAATATGTATAAAATGAAGAGAATTAAGTGACATCTTATTTTATACACAGCAACATACTTCTGATTCTGCTCCTCCACTTAGCTGTAAAAATGCATTAATCAGAACTGCCTGGCATCTTCCTGAGCAAGACTTTCAATTGGACCCAATATGCTTCATTTCATCCAGAAGTTTTCTCAAGCATCTTTAAAGGTTGGCTCATTCAGCAAATATTAGCTGGCAGTGCTTTGCTGAGGCAATAGCAGTGAAAAAAAAAAAAAGACAAAAATCTTTATCCTTATATATTTAGGTGATGCAGGAAAGGGTGGGTAAAACACAAATTATTTCATATGTCAAGTTGTAACCTCTGGAAAAGTCTAAGACAGAAGGGGAATAGGGAATATCAACAATAAATTTAAGATTGCACTTAAAAATAGGTCAGAAGAGAGGGAATGGTCTGTGCTCAGAGAAGAACATTCCAAACAAAAGGAAGAAAAGACTCCAGGATGGAATCATTCTTAGCATTTTGAGGAGTCACCAAGTTTCTTAAATAACTTTTTTTTAACCTATTGCTTTTTGAGTCACTGTTCATCTGTTAACTAGTTGAAGTCTGGAATCTGCTCACTAAAGCACAGAATCAGCAGGAAAGGTTTTTACTTTGGCAGTGACCATGAAAGTCACTGGGGAGTTTTTGTTTGCTTTTGTTTAAAGACAAAGAAAAATCTACGATTCTGACTCTCAAGTATACAAAGACAAACACATAATTTAAATTCACTGAGAATTATGATAGGAGTATGCATAAGATACTTACGTTATAAGAGCATTAATTCAGATTGGGGAATGGTTCATGCTGAATTTTGAAAGATGGGTTTCCTATAGAGAAAAGTAGGCAGAGACCTGTAGGAAGGAATGGACCTATCGAAAGTCTGCAGTGTCTATAAAGCTAAATTGGAAGGTAGATTGCTTTATCAATATAAAATAGCATTCCCACAGTAATTAATGCTGCTGCTTTTGCAAGTTATAAATAGAAGAGGTAGTTTAAAATGCCAGATATTAAAGGTGTAATCTTTAACTGTTCCTCTTTCAGATACTCCTTTCATGGGATAAGATTAGTGGAAGGAAAAAAATACATCACTTTGTTTCTATTCAGTAGTGTCTTGTGCATGTTGTAGAACTGTTTGCGAGCCTTAGCTAGCATTAACATCACCCTATAGTATAATCTTTTTGTAAGTTTGATGTACAAATGGAAAGCAGATGGTTTGTTTTTGTATTGTTTCCATTTGGGATTAACTAAGACATTGTGATTATTTTAAAATTTGTTTTTGTCTACTGGTTGTGTTTTCTCTTTAGATGCTGAAGTACCCTTTCACATTCCGACTAAGAGCCAGCAGAATAGAAGCACTTTCTCTCAAGACAGGTCTCCAGCAGAACTTTTCCCCTTTGTTTCCAAGGCCTTGGTTTGTCTCATCATTTCCAGTGTATATGAGCAAGACACAATACTATCATACTTCCCCATGCAGCTTTAAGAAGCAGCAGAAGCAAGAAGTCCTTCCAGCCAAGCCACCAGGCACCATAACTTTCCTGCTTGACAGCCCGAAGCCAGTATTATACATAATTCTGGCAGGACTAATCCCCTTCGTTGCTCCACCACTGGTCATGGTGATGACAGAGACTTATATCCCCTTATTAGCTTTTACTCAGATGGCTTATGGAGCCAGTTTCCTATCTTTCTTGGGAGGGATCAAATGGGGTTTTGCTCTGCCAGAAGACAGTACAGCCAAACCAGACTTCCTCAATTTAGCTAGTAGTACAGCTCCTCTTATGTTTTCATGGTTTGCCTTCCTTATTTCTGAAAGACTCAGTGAAGCTATAATCACAGTAATGGTAGGTTTGGGGATCGCATTACACATTGAACTTTTTCTCTTGCCACATTATCCCAACTGGTTCAAAGCCCTTAAGATAGTAGTCACTTTAGTGGCCTTGCTTTCATTTATAATCACTTTACTAGTTAAAGATATTTATCCAGAGAAGGAACACCAGAGGCCTGGTCAAGTAGAATAAATATAAAACTACTCTGTAGATGACATTAGCAAATAGGTGGTTCCCGTGTGGAGCTGTCATTGCAGTTGGCCCTGGAAATTTGCATTCCCAAGCTCATTTTATCTAGTATAATGTAGTTATATGAGCTGAAAGGATCTGGCGCTCTAAAAGTTAGAAGGGCAGTATAACAAAGGGGAAGCCATATTCAAAGAAAAGCTGAACACATTTTCGAGTTTTCATCCAGTTTTTATAGACACAACCCCATCTTCAAATAACATCAGCTGGTCAAAAAAATTTTTTAAATAAAGCCACTAGTATATATAAGTTAGGAAAAGTCAAACTTGATGTTCTAACAAGCAGGGTGATCTAGTTTTACATGTTAACTCAGAGAAGCTTCTTTAAAAACAAAAGCAACACTTGATTCTAACTTGAAAATTTGGTCTCTTGAGATTATTCTCCTAAAAAAGGAAAAAACATTTTAAATGGCAAAAGACTATAATCAGTAGGGGCGTCTCAGTGACTCAGTTAAGTGTCTGACTGAATTTCAGCTCCGGTCATGATCTTATGGTTTGTGAGTTTGAGCCCCGCGTCAGGCTCTATGCTGGCAGTGCTGAACCTGCAAGTGATTCTCTCCTTCTTTCTCTGCCCTTCCCCTGCTTGCTTGCTCTCTTTTAAAATAAATCAATAAACTTAAGAATATAAACTTGGTATATCTTTGGATAATGCATCCAAATATTAGTTAACTTGAATTTCATAAATTGTATGATGAATTCCTAGATCCCAGTATCTCCGAATGTGATCTAGAGGGGTAATAAGGCTAAAGTGAGGGCATAAGAGTAGACTGTAATATAATATTTCCAGCATTCTTTTTTTTAACCAGTATTCCTTACAATAAGGGAAAACTTAGAGATAAACATGCATACAGGGAAAATGCCATGTTTACATGAAGGTGGCCATCTACATTCCAAGGAGAGAAGCCTAGAATACTTTCCTTTTAGCCCTCAGAAGGAACCAACTATCAACACATTGATTTTAGACTTCTAGCTTCCAAAACTATGAGACAGTAAAACTTATTGTTTAATTTCTGTGGTACTTTGTTACAGCAGCCCTAGCAAATATAATACCATAGAGCTAGACCTTGTTCTGATCATTGAGAAGCTTACTGATTAAAATCCATAGCTGAAACCACCACACAATCCTTCTTTATTAATGCAGAGAATAGTTTACCTACAGTCTGACACTGCAGAAAAGAAACCTTACACTTCAGAAGCTCTCAGATTCTACTTAGTGGTTTGGTGACGAAACTTACTTGCTTCTAAATTACTTGAGGACTACACAAAAAATTCCTCTGATCTCAAATTCATCATCTTTCAGAATAGGGGCAAGTCACTTTTAAGCTAATTGCCCAATTTCAATAAACACTGCAGGTAAATGCACTTTGTAAATAAATTACAGTGTATGATTCTTTAAGAAAACTGATTTTAGGGGCACCTGGGTGGCTCATCAGTTAAGCGTCAGATTTCAGCTTAGGTCATGATGTGCAATTTATGAGTTTGAGCCCCACATCAGGTTCTGTGCTGACAGCTCAGAGCCTGGAGCCTGCTTTGGATTCTGTGTCTTCCTCTCTCTCTACCCCTTTTCCACTCATGCTCTCTCTCTCTCAATAAATAAAACATTAAAAACATTTTTTAAAAATGATTTTAGGGGCGCCTGGGTGGCTTAGTCGGTTAAGCATCCAACTTTCGCTTAGGTCATGATCTCGCGGTTTGTGGGTTCGAGCCCTGCGTCGGGCTCTGTGCTGACAGCCAGCTCAGAGCCTGGAGCCTGTTTCAGTCTGTGACTCCCTCTCTCTCTGACCCTCCCCTGCTCACACGGTCTCTCTCTCTCTCTCTCCTAGAAATAAATAAAACATTAAAAAAAAATGATTTTAAAGTACATCTGACTTTACATTGCACAGGACATCTTGAAGTATATTAGATCGTCAAATATTCTGAAGGAAGATCACATTAATAGCTGCTCAGAAAACAGATTTAAATGTAAGAACTAAATGTGCAAGTCCCTAAAGGTAAAACAAAACACTAAAAAATGTAGTCAATCCTATTACAGTTTGGTGGTGATCCAGGAACACCGCTAATAAACTTATAAATCAAGGAAAGCAAAAACCAACATTCTTTATTAGCACATTATTTTTAAAACCATGTCATTACCCAGAAAATAATAGGTATTTTTACATTATTTATTTACAGAGACTGTCTGGAAGCCCAAACATCGATTGTCTTGACATGTTTCTGCCACCACAATACAAAATGCCTCCCCTCACAGTACCATTTTAGGCACAAGGCAATAATGAGAACTAAATTATAGTAGTATTTTTTAAGTCTCTTTTGAACCAGAATGCAGATTTTTCTGTAACTAGAAATATTAAAGGCACATGAATTAGAGCTTAAATAATTTACAAATGATTTTGATACTTCATTCCTTGACATTTTATAGATTTCAACCAACCATCTATGACCCTTCAGACTTTCAGGATACCCCAAAGACAGGGACACAGAGCTTTGTGTCTGCACTACATAAGCTTTTCTTAATATATGCATATGGTTAAGTTATGAAAGAAAGTATCTTTGAGGGCAAATCCAAATATTTTGGATATGAGTGCTACCTGAATCTTTAATGCTTCCCAAAGATTTTCTATCTAAATAAGCTGCTGATACCTGTTAACAATACACTGAAGAAGTTTAGTAAAGAAAAGGGGAAATCAAGGATATACAAATCAAATCCTGAAATCACTAGGTAAACCTAAATGTATGCAAGACCTTTAATATATATGGTTCCAAACGACTAGTAGAAATAAATAAAATGATGATCATGTACACAAAGAATATTCTTTTCAGAACTGGACAGAGAACAATTCTTTAGAATGTTTCTCAGGGGAAAAACAAAGTTTTGAGAAGCAGTTTGGATCAGAGTCCCTTCAACTTAACAATGTCTATAAAAAGCTTCATAGGTACCTACAATTCCACTTTCTCCAAGCCAGGCAGTAGGCTTTGTACTAAGTTCATACTTAGGCTTGCCCAAGTACAACTAAGCTTTACAAGCTTGACAATGTAATAAAATTCCCTCTTCCTGAAGCCAAACTGATAACTATTTAGAAAACAGGAAAGAAATTTAACACCTCCCACTAGGCTCTGATACCCATTATATCATCCAATTTCTCTAATGGACTGTCACTAAGAACCTCCTAGTAATTCCTCACTTGCATTTTCAGCATTAAGACAATATAAGTGAACAAAAGCTTTTTTAATCCTGTTAACAATAGGCAAAAATGTATATAAACATCTATACAGATAGCTAGATATTTCCCATATATCCCTCCCAGTATATCTCCTGCTAATAAAAAGTCTGGGGCTAGTGAAAACTCCTGGCATCAAATGAAAGTAGGGAGTTGTTTCATTGGTTTTTCTCTGTAGGTTCAACTATAGCCATGGAAAATTGTGTTATAGACTGAATCATGAATGTACAGACATCCTTAAACTGTCTCACTAATATTCTTACATCACACAAAGGTCATGTTACAGCTTGGCTTGCCCTGGAGAAGCAGCTAAAGGGGCTATCAGTCAAGAAGCTTCTGGCAAATCATTTTTACAATTAGGATTATTCCCTTAGGGGAGAATTCTAGAGCATAAACAGCATTTCTAATGGTAAGCTTGACAAATTTGTGTGAGTTGTTTATTAATTTAGGATATATTCCATATCATTTCTCACTCAAATTCTTAGAAAAATCATTCTTTAGTCATCTACCTACTAAATACATGGAAAACTCAATAGAATCATCAAATATATGTGTGATTTGCAAAGAGTCAGATCCTATATTTTCAAAATGTTTCTTGTGCTCCCTTATGCTTTATGTTTCATAATACAGCAACACCTCCTTCACAACGACTGGTGATCATGTTACCGATTTCTGTCCATGTATCTGAATGAGGGTTATAAACTTCAACAGAGTCCAAGGTACCTGGGGCCAAGAAATCATGGCTGGAAGATCGACCTCCAGAAACATATAGAAGCCCATTAACTGCCACAACACACATGCCTGCTCTAGGCACTTTCATCGACGCAACTTCAACCCACTTTTCCTGGTTAAGAAGAAAAAAAAAAGCAGAATCATAAAAATAGAGAAAACTCTTAAGAAATCAGATACTCTAGTTCTTTTTACATGTTTAAATTTCAAACTCACAATCCAGTCATATATATATAGAACATTTTCAAATGAACTTTTGAGTAGGTATAGTCAAAGTAACAAATTTAGAGGAAAACAACTGAAAAACATGTCTGTGATTAATTATAAATGATGACCAGGAGATAATCTAGAAATCCTATATAGGCAGGCATTCTTTAAAACTAGTTCTATTGAATGTAAGTAGGTAATGCACACATACACAAAACAAACCCACAGAGCTCCAAGGAGAAAAAAGCTTCTATATACAGAAGGACTTTTAATATGCTAATAACCTTTATTAATCTCCAAGACAATGACATTGCTATCAACACTTACCCAGTCATTAACCATGGAATTCTTTTTTTCAAAGACTATCTAGTGGAGTTAATACTCTGCAAAATGTATTTTCAGAAACAGTATACATTGGGGGTCAGAAACTATAGCCTATTTTTGTGAGAATCATCTTTCCAGATTAAATTATTTTAAAAAATAAGAATTATTCAAATGGTGTTGGGAAAACTGGACTATATGCCAAAAAATAAAACAGGACCACTTTCTTACACCATACACAAAACTAAGCTCAAAATGGGTCAAGGACCTAACTGTGAGGCCTGAAACCATAAAAATCCTAGAAGAGAGCACACACAGCAATTTCTCTGACATCAGCTGTAGCAATAATTTTCTGGCTAGGTCTCCTGGGGCAAGGCAAAATAAATAAAAGTAAATATAAACTGTTGGGACTACATCAAAATAAAAAGCATCTTCTGCACAGTGAAGAAAACAATCAACAAAACGAAAAGACAACCAGGGCTCCTGGGTGGCCTAGTCGGTTAAGCGTCTGACTTCAGCTCAGGTCATGATCTCACGGTTCGTGGGTTCGAGCCCCATGTCAGGCTCTGTGCTGACAGCTAGCTCAGACAATGGAGACTGTTTTGGATTCTGTGTCTCCCTCTCTCTCTGAACCTCCCCTGCTCAAGCTGTCTCTCTCTCTCAGAAATAAATAAAAACATTTAAAATTAAAACAAAAAAAACCCGAAAAGACAACCTACTGAATGCAAGAAGATATTTGCAAATGACGTATCTGATAAAGACTTAATATCCAAAATATATAAAGTACTGTCACAATTCAATCATCAACTATAATCATCATCATTACCATCATCACCATCCAATTAAAAAATGGACAGAAGACATGAACAGATATTTCACCAAAGAAGACATCCAGATGGCCAACAGACACATGAGAAGATGCTCAACATCACTCTTCATCAGGGAAAAGCAAATCAAAACTACAATGAGATACCACCTTACCACCACAACTGAGCCCTACATTGTGCATAGAGATTACTTTAAAAAATAAAAATAAAA